GGGGGGGGGTCTGTCCATCCCAATGGCTTTGAAATACGGCCAGGGAGGAGCAGAGTGGCTGGGGAAAGGAGGTAGCAGGACAGACTTCTGGAGGAACGCCGTTGGCTGTGGAGAAGGGTAGAAAGCCAACCTCCGAGCAGAGACGTCCTGGTTGGGAGTGGTAGGGTGCTGCGTGGACACACGTCCTTTCTCCACACGGGCAACACTGTAAAACACAAGACACAGAACGAAAAAGGAAAGAAAGAAAAAAGCAACAGAGGGAGAGAGAGAGAGAAAGGAAGAAAAGGAGGGGAAAAGACAGACGCAGCAACAGAGCCCTTCCTTCTGCCCCTGCCAGTCTCCACCTCTTGCCATCTCCTAGTCCCCTGTGCCATCTCCCAGGGGCACCTTCCAGCTCCTGACACCCCCTTTTGAAAGCACCAAGGGACTTGTCAATCAAAAGTGAAGGCAAGGCTGAGGCTGTTTTGCCTGGCTTTGCTTCCTCCCCCAGCTGCTGGGGAACAGGGAGCAGCAAGAGTTCATCAGGCAGCTCTCTGCAAAGATTAAAGCATCCGGTTGCCATCCTGTTAATGGACTGCCTTTCATTTCCTCCCCGTTGATGGGACAAGTCTAAGTCCCATCGGATCCAATCTTCTTCCAAGCAGCTGAGGATCTGGAGCTGGTCCCTGGAGAAGGGGCGTTGATGCCGATGGCTGGAACCACTCCTTGGTCATGATATTTCTTGTGAAAGGAAACCCCCCCCCAGCAGGGTCCTGTTCCCCTTCCCACCCTCTCCTAAGGGAGCAGGGGACAGTTTCGGGTCTCCAGTGACCTCCACCTGCTCACCCACAGTGGGGGGGCAGGTGGGGATGCCAAGGGTGTGACAGAGACACACGCGTGAGTGTGTGGAGCGGTGAGCACAGAGCTCCTTTCTGCAGCCTGGCACCTCTCTTGATCCCCAGGCCGCAGAGCTGGCCACTGGGCCAGAAATCCCTCAACCCTGACTCAGAGGGGTTTCCTCCATAGGCCTCGCTGCGAGGGAGGAAGAGGCAAAGCTCCATCAGGATGGAGAAATGCAGGGAGACTGTTATGAGTTGGCAACACGGACAGACTTGTAGTTCCCTCTAGCCCTAAGTCTGGTCCAGATGCCTCATGTCACCTTACAAGGCCTCCCAAAGACCTGGCCAGGGCTGAGACACTGGACTACAGACCCCACAACCTACTCAGCCCTTGCCCAAGACAGTGCCAGCGATGCTGTTTTGTGCGGGGCACGCAGGCTAGCAGGAACTGACTGCACTCTCAAGTACTGGGAAAGCTTTCAGCCTTGTTGAACCAGCAACTTGGAGGGGGAACGCTCGAAACCCTAAGGGGCAGTGCAGAAGTGACAAAAAAGAGGCTGTTTTCCTGGGCTGATAGGAGAGTCCTGAGGCTTAATCATGCCACCCAGTGGCTTCCTACGGGGCAGGCGTGAGCTGTCGTGCGGTCTTGGCAATCTTGGCTGATTGTCAGCTCTGCTTTGCCTCCTGCCTGCGTCGTCGGGACGAGGGGCCTGCTTTGCTCACTCTCCCAGGAGCCATGCGCTCTTGAAAGGATGAGCATCGCCCGTCTGCACTGCTGGCTGGCTGTGCAGCCTGCAGGGAGAGGAGGAAGGGGGGTGAGGAATGAGATGAAGGAGAACTGAAAAAGAGAAAGCGGAGAAGCTGGCCTGTGTGGGGAGAGCGGGGGAGGCAGAGAGGAGCTGCTGAATCCCTTAAATGTTGGTCTATAGGAGTCAGCAAGAGAGAGGGATTTGGGGATCTCTCTGCAGGTTTCTACCCGACTGAGTCCAGCCGTCTGGGCCGCCAGCGGAGCGGGAGCAGTAACAGCACAGAGCCATGTGTGGACGCTCACAGAGACTTGCAAAGGGCTTGCAAAGGGGCTGAGATACTGCACTGAAGGCAATGGAAAGCCTCTTGCTGACTTCCAGTGGGCTACTGGCTGCTATGGAGGTCCAGCACTGTTGAACATGAGGCTCCCAGCACCCACACTTGGCAGCTGGTCATCTGGTTTTAACCGCGCTACATCTCAGCCTTTGTCGCATCACTCAGGGCATCGTGGTAAAAGCCAGCGATGGTACCCGCCACGGTACCAGGCAATAGATGTGGTTGCCTTCTCCTTGCACGTCCCTGCCATGGCTGCAAACTCAGAAACCAGCCGTGCTGCAGGATCTGGAGGATCCAGGTTCAGTAGCAGCCCTCAGCAGCTGCAATGGCCCCACTTCTCCAACCACCACGTGCTCGGGCAGCCTGGAGTTTTGTTTAAAAATAATACATGGGCCCACGTGTTTCCATGCCAACCAAACCAGCCGGCACCTCAAGGAGCAAAAAACTTCCAGAACGGCACAGCGCGGGGAGGGAAACACGTCGGGGTTGCCATCCTCCTTGATTCTCTGGGCAGTTTGGGAGCGTTAGATGCTTCCCTTTAAAGTCCCAGCTCCTGGAATCACGTGAATAGATGATGATCTCAGCTCCTGTCGAATAGGAGCGGGCGTTTCTAGCCCTCAAAGCTGCAGCAAAACACTCCTGGTGGTTCTGGTCCTGCACCCCAAAAGTGCCTTCCTGACAAAGACCCCTCCTGACTGTATTAAGCTGCTGTTGTGCTTCTTAGGGACGGAGAAATGCTTTTTGAGCAGCTGCACATGGCAAGACTGAAACGTCTAGGTGAGGAGGGCAAAGCCAGCCAAACGGTCCCCTAAAAGTGGGGTGAATTTAAAATCCCATTTCAAAGGTGCGATGCATGCCAATGAATCATCCAGCCTGCATCTACATGGTTTTCTCTCAGGCTAAACCCAGTCCGAGATTAGCCATTCCTCCAATACCTGCAAATCAGTGTGCTGACTGCGTTCAACCCTCTCTCTTCCTCTATCACAGTTAATGTCATTTTGGAGGCTTACACTGCCCTAGCTGTCTCTGGTGAAACTACTACCCCATCCTACCTCATAAGCCTTCAAGACTTCTTCAGGAAAGTCCACAGTTTCCCCCAGATCCTCCCCGGAGATGATGTAAAGACACACCAAGACCATCAGAGTGTTAACAGCGCCAGGAAGCATTACTTACACAGGGCACCTGGTGCTGAGGAAAGCATGGATCAGGGAGCGATGAGAGGGGTCAGGAGCCTGGCACTGTCCTGGGAGGGTGGATGGACAATGGGGCTGCTTCTGATGGCATGAGAGGGAATGTGCGCCTGGCAGGGTGCGGATGGAGGGGGCAATGAGCGTTACAGAGGCTTTGTGACGAAGACCATCCAAATGCAACCGACTCTTCCCTCCGTTATAAGACTTGTCAGGCGAGACAGTGGAGAAAGAGACAAACAGACAGACAGACACACGGTAGTGACGAGGAGACAGACAAGACACACACGTGGGACTTGGGATCCAGGGAAGGGAGGAGGGTAGGAACGGGGAGATCGCTGGCTGGCCTGTGGGTGGTCAAAGGGATGGGGGGTCGCCTGTGGCTGGGTCAGGGCTGTAGTGGTGTGATCATGACTTACCTCCAGCACACAGACAGCAAGGTTCCTCCTTGGCTGTGTGTTGAGGCCAACAGGGCGGGAGAGATGCCAGGGGCAAGGATCAGGGGGTAGTTGAAGAGGTGGGGGAGACGCATTGGGGTGACCAGGACCTCCACACCATGCCACCGCTTACCACAGGGCCCCTCGTGCTTTACAGGGAGGGCAGCTTTCTGCTGGCACTCTGCCTTCTGGCGCTCGCAGTCGTTGCTGTACGTCCGGCTGTCCCGGGCGCAGACAGGCCGATAGGCGCCGTCGCAGGTGATGCGATCGCAGGAGCAGCGGGTGGTGCCACGCCGGTTGAGGCACACGGCGCCAAACTTGCATTCGTCCCTGCACTTGTCTGCAAAGGGAGAGAGATGTGGTGCTCAGCACAGGGCTGCAGGCAGGGGCAATGTGGGGCATGCTGACCTGGGGCAGAGGCAGGAAACCCCAGGGTGAGAACTGAGCCGCTGAGGCCACACCAGATGGGAACGGACCCCCCTCTATGCTGTCTGTGGATCCCCATTCCCCACTCACACCGAAGAGCACTGCTGGAAGGGACGCTGGAGCAGAGAAATAGCAGGGTGAGGCCCGAGCGACTGGGGCCTGCGTCCTAGTTCATCTGAGCCCTGGATCGGGTCCATCTCCCTTGGATGAATGGACTTGTAGCTGAGACCCTACCTGCTCCATCATCCTCTCTGCTGTCACTGGGGCAAGGGCCACAGCAGCCTGGGGCTGCTATCCTGGGTCCTGCCTCCAGCAGGGACCAGCTTCAGATTCTTGGTCAATAAAGCCTGAAAAGACTGACCTGGGGCAGGTGGCTTCCTATGTCACCGGTCAGCCCCCAAATGCAGAGGGCCCCAGGATGGTTGCAGAGCAATGTAGGTACTTACCCTGCGGCTGGCACTGCCCCGAACGCACCTTCTGGATCTCCAGCCCCCGCAGAGCGCCCGACCGTCCCATGACGCACTCGCTGTCATAGGTTACCCCATCATCGCCACACACTGGGTCCCTCTTTGGGGGGCAGTTTTCGGGCCGGAAAAGCAGGTCCGCTCGGCGGGTGCGAGGGTTCACCCGGCAGACCCGGCTCAGGTCGTTGACGGCGTTCTTGCAAGGGTCTGCACCGAGGGCACGGGAGGGTGTGGGTGAAAGAGAGCAAGAGACACAGCATCTCAGAGCAGCGTGGCTACCTCCAGGGTCTGCCCCATCCCTGCCCCTCAGGGAGCCGAAAGCCTGGGCCCAGAACCAGCCCAGCCCAGGCCTAAGCTGCATTGCATCTTTCCTCCCTGGGATCTAGTCCATGCTGGCCTCCTCCATTCAGATGGGGTCTCTGCAAGACTCTGTGCACATGCCAGCTGGTCTCTGCATGAAGAGCACTTGGGGTTTGTGGTAGGAGGAAGATGGCTGGCAAATTCAGAGACTGCGGGATGTGGGGTGGTCCCTGCGTGCCGGGGCGGACTCAGACCAATGAAGTCTGAGTCGCGCCAAGGCGAGAAGGGGCTGCCGGAGCCCTGCCTGGGTCCCCCAGACAGGAGCTCCCATCTGTGCCTCTGCCTGAGCACTTGACTCTTAACCTGCACCCTTCTGCTGCTTTCCTCTGCACCCCCCCACAGGTCTGGGGAGGCACTTGCCCCCCATCTGGCTCCAGGTCCCCTTGACAGCACAGCTTCAAGTCACTCCTGACAGCCACGCCAGTGGGTAGCCCAGCCCCTGGGCATGTGAGCAGAGATCAGGCTCCTTCATCGGTCAAGGAAGTGGGTCATGGGTGGGGAAAAACACCTCTTTTACCCTGGGAGCCTAAGGCTCAGCCCCCCAACACCAGGGGCAATGCCTTAGTCAAGGCCCAGGCCTTTGCTGCAGCTCCTCGGAGAGTCTCTCATCTGTTTGGCTCTCTGAAGCTTGGCCAACGCAGCTCCTAAATACACTCCAGGCTCCTCTCCTGGGCCATGGAGGGTGCTCTGCGCTGACAAGGGCACTCATTCCCCAGGCACCTGCTCATGTTTTTCACCTCTTTCCCTGCTCCCTGCCCTAAGCAGCTCAGCGAGTGGATTGAGGAATCCGGGCCCTTGAGAGGAGATCCCCATGGGCCCCGTGCTGCCTTCCACCGCTACTGTAATCAGAGCTTATCTCCGTTGCCCTCCCTGCTGAGCCAAGCTCGCAGCAGCATACTAAAGAGTGGGCACAACACACACTGGCTCTCTGCTAATCCTTTCCCAAGCTCTTGGCTTAAATATTATTACAGTCGCTACTTTTTGGCCAAGACGGAATACCTGCCTGGCGCTGGTTCGCTCTCAGCAGCAATGGTAGACACTGGATTGCATTTCTTCCCCTTTTATGCCAGCGTACCACAAATTCCCACCTGCCTTACCACGCCCTTGCTTGCCTTACCACACTTCCACCAGGTTTCCCACCCAAAAGGGGTTTCAACCCCCCCGGCTGAAGCCCAGGATGTCCCCCTCCCTCCTTGCAGCCACTGGAGAGAAATCCTACAATCAATGGAAAAGGCATTGCTGGCCTGGAGAGTGTTGTGCCCCCCCACCCCAGCCTTGGACCTGTGTACCAACCTCCCCGCCCCGGTCTGGGACTCACCGCAGGGCCCGTCGAACTTCTTGAAGATGTTCTGCTGTGCGTCGCAGGCGTGCTTGTTGAGCTCACACTCACTGTGGTAGTCCTTGCCATCACTGCCACACACGGTGCCCTCGGCCACCCCGCGGCATGAGGATGGGCAGATGCACTTGGCCGACTGCCCATCAGTAGAGCGGGCACAGGTACTGCCAAAACTACACGTCACCTCCGCACACGGGTCCTTGGAACCTGCCGGGTGGGACCGGGGGAGGAAGGATACAGAGCTGTGAGCTGAGCCGGCGGCCATCCGTGCCCCTCAGCCCCTGGGATTAATGCCAGGAGTCTTTTCCCAGCCCAGCAGCGAGCAAGTTGAAATGGGTTTCCTCCAGAACCGCCCAGCCAGCGGTGGGTTAGGGACAGAGCTGTCACCCAAATCATTCACCCATCCTCTGCACATCCTCGTCTGCAGCCTAGAGCTTGCAAGGCTCAGGCCACCTGAGATGTGAGCGCGTGCATGTGGGGTGAGAGGGGCCCAGCATCAGCCTGGCTCAGCAGCCCGTGCAGAAGGGGTGAGACAAGGACTGGATCTTCCCTGCTCCATGCCAGGCACGTGCCCAGGTGATGCTGCCTGCCCGCCTGGCCCCTCGCATCTCAGACAGGCAGAGCCTCATAGGCCTGATGTGCTGGGGGAGACCGAGGCATTGCTGTCATGGTTCAGGTTCACCAGCCACCAACTCTTGCACTTGCTCAGCCGCATCCTGATGGCTGTTGCAAGTGTGGGATGGGGAGGGCTGCCCGCTCCCAGCCTCTGGACCCTACATCGTGCTCTTTGTTGGGCTCAACCCCCAACGTCATGGCTCTGAAACACTTTAATGCTCTGCCCATGAGCGGTGCTGCTGCATTTCATAGGGACTTGCTCACACACTTGGAGGGAGAACTGGCGTCAGTGCTTGGCTGGAGTGGGGTTTTAAGTCTCAGGCACGCTTGTGCCTCCTTGAACCTGTTAGTCTCAGGGGCCTTCCAGCCCTGCCTTTACTGGCAATCGATGCCCGGCTTCCCACCAGCGTTGGGCATGGCTCAGCTCCTCCCTGCCTGCTCTGCCAGCCAGAGGGACTGAGGGCACACCATGTTTTGCTGGCTTAGTCCCTCTACCACTCGTCGCAGAAAGCTGACTTCCCACCCCGACGCTCCCCTGACTCCATATCCTGCAGGCCATCTTCCCCGCACGAACTCTTGGAGAGATATTTCCAGTAGCCAACATGGTGGCCCAAGCTCCTTAGGGTCCTCTCAGCACAATGTAATTAGAGGAAGAGTGCAAGAAGCCATTTCCCGGCTGACAGGGCTGGGCCCACACTTATTTGCCCACTTTTTTTTTTTTTTTTGCTTTAATTTGTCCCTTTTTTACGATTCTTATTTAAAAGAAATATACCACGTGGCACCAACCCCACTGCTGCGCGCCCCAGCAGGGCCACCGTGCCGAGATTTATTGCGAGCCGGCGCGGCGCGCGAGGGAAAGGTCAACTTAATTTACTTGGAGGCGAGGGGTGGGGGTCTCATTTACACAGCTCCTTGCTTGCAGCTGGTGCATGCCAGACCGGGGAAGGGCTTTCATTAGCCTTCCTCACCCTGCCTCCCCGAGAAATTGCTGCTCTCAAGGCAGGGGCTTGCTCAGATGCATCTGCTTTGTGCTTGTCTCTCAGGCTCTTGCTTCCTAGCAGGTGAATGGCAGCCTCTTGCTCTGCAGAGGCTGTAGGGATGTGGGGAGGCCCTTTGACTGGTTCCATGGACGTAATAAAGTAATTAGTCCTTCCCTTTCACAGTGGAAGAGTGCAAGAAGCCATTTCCCATTCATCCATCCTCTTTGCAAGCTGCTTGGGGCTCTAGGATAACCAGTGCAAATGCCAGCCAGGCACAAACCCTGCCTGGGTGTTCTCCGGGAGCGACCCATGGTTGTCCTGGGGAGGACAGAGATAGCATGACTCACCACAGGGGCCCTTGCTGATGACTTTGATCCTCCTCTGCTGGTTGCACTGGGCCTTCTCCAGCTCACACTCGTTGCTGTAGGTGGAATAGTCCGAGCCACAGACAGGAGCCACCACTGAGGGGCACGTGGTCTTTTTGCAGACGCAAGAGGCCTGGGACGGGTCAGCGGGACTCCTTTCGCACACAGCTCCGAACCCACAGAGCATTCCTCGGCATGCTACGGGAGAGAGATGGACAGGGATGAGCCGAGGCTTGCTGACCTGGACGTGCAGAGCCCCGCAGGAGAAGGGTCCAGCAGCCACAGCCATGAGGGACGAAAGCCCAGACCCTCTGGGTCTTGAATCTGGGGTAGGGCTTGTCTATTCACTTCAAGCCCTGAAGGATGAGCAGCTGGGACGCTCTCAGGGGACCAGCTGGGAAGGGAAAGCATCAGTGCTTGGAGCTCTTCCTCCAGCCTCCCCGTTAAGCGGGAATGGGGGGGGGAGTCACCACCAGCAGGCTGGGAAGCCAGTCACACCAGGACGGTGACTTGCAGTTCCTGTCTCTCGCTGCTCCCCTGCACCAGTCCCCCACTCCAGGCCTTTCCTGCACACCCACTTAACTGCCTGGAGCAGGTGTCCTTTGAAGGGACATCAATTCCTCCGGAGAGCTGGATCCATGGCCTGCCATAGCCTGTCCCCTGAGGTCTGTCCCCTCCATGTTTTTTGGATCAGGCTACAAACAGTAACACCCCTCTTCCCCCATCAGATGCGGCATCTGCCCCCACCCCAGAGCAGAAGCAGCTCAGATGCTGTGCACCGCTGTGATATCATGGACCAGTATCACCACCGCCCCACTGAGTGCCATCTAGGGTGGCCCAGACCACAGGCAACAGCTGCCTCCAGAGCCGGTGAGCTGTGGCACTGCTGCCTGCTCCGTGCCCAGGCTCCTGTCAGGCGTCACGCTTCCCCAGCCCCTCAGCAGTGAAGTATGCAGGGGGCAGTAGGAAAATAAGCCCCCTGACAGATACTCCTGTCACCAATGGGACATCAAAGGGATGAAGAAGAGCCAGCCCAAGCCTTTATTTGGTCCTTGGATTTGCAGCCTGGACCTATGTACCCATACCCTGGATGCGAGGAGCTGGAGGGATGAAGATAGGGGCACCGAGGGCTGGACCTGGCATGGATTTAGTGAGCTAGTGTCTATGGTGCCGGTCTGTCTTGTCTGGGGCTAGTGGGTTTTCTTTGCTGAGACTAAAGCCATGCACTGCTGGGTGGCAAGACTGAGCTCTGCATCTGGGCACCATGCAAACCAGAAGGAGCTGGCGATAGGCATGTGAGAGAACATGCCTGCCACAGGCTGAGCAGCAAAAAAGGCTTGACAGAGGAAAGCAATCTGCTAAGTGGTAATAAATCTAGGGCTGGGAAAGGGTCTCAGCAACAACACTGGGCAGGAGGCAGAGGTGGAGTGTCCCCTGGGTGATTTAGAGGGCTAGGGTCAGAATGACACGGGCTCCAGGTCCCTCCCACCTGCTGTCCATCTTGCAGGCTGAGATGAGCAGCTCTAGGAAGAAGGGGCTGTCCCTGACCATGCATCATGGCACGGCGCACTGTGGGGCCAAGAACTTCAGCTGGGGCCTCTGGTTCTTCCATCAGGCTAACGCTGCCGCAGGCAGGTGTGAGGGCAATGGGAGCGATGTTAGCCTGGCTACGGAGAGACTCCTGGCTCGACCAAGCCCTCCGGGCTACATAACCCTGCCAGGTAGGATTGAGGTGTCCCGAGCCCTTTTCCAAAGAGTACAGGCTGCTCATGTCCATGAAAATGGAAGAGACAAGTGATTAACCGAAAAGCAGGAGAGGAAAAGAAAAGAAGTGTCCTGGCTTTGTACCGCCACTCAAGCTGGGGCAGAAAACATTTCCTCATCTACCCAGACACGCGCACACTTTTTTATTCATCACAATGTATGCAAATCAATTGGAATCACATGGCAGAGAGCAGGGGCCTGTCTAATAGGAGATGCACAAATCTCTTTATCACATACACTAATCAGAGCAGCCAGCACAGACCAGTTCAGCATCTGAATTGCTAATGTATCAGGGAAGGTAATTTTTAAAGAGGAGGTGGGGAAAGAGGCAACTACGCACAAACTCGGATAGATGCAGGGAGGATTGTGAGCAACACCTGGCCACGGCGACTGGAAGTGATGTCCCAGCTGGGTGACCCCTCTCTGTAGCGTCCCAGGGCACGAGCAGAGCGGTGCCCACATTTCACCCCTCTCGCTGTACACACAGTGCATGCGCACTTGTGCATGCACGCGCACACAGGAAGCGCACGCTTCTACCATGCAACCACACACATGCTCCTTCACACACTTCCAGTGCACACCTGTGCTGCCCTCTACACACACCTGTCGACGTAGCCTATATCCACAATATACATTAGAAATGGAGACTGACCTACATAATGAAAGAGAGAGAGAAATCATAAAAGGCAGAATAAAAAGCCCGGCAGTGGCTCATTTACACTTCAATTCCCGGGCGCTTGGCTTTGACTGCCTTGAGATTTTTGAGTTCATATGCACAGCAACAATGCGCCGCTAAGAGACTAATATCGTCAAATAAAAAAGAACTCTCTTTCTCTCCTGCCCAATATCTAAAAGCAATTTATCATTTTTATGAAGCTCTCTGGATAGGTGCTCGCGCACCTTCCCTTGCCATTGCTCTCACTCCTGTCCTTCTCTCTCACTCTTTTTTTTTTTAATGCAGATGAGCCTGTTTAGCTCCAAGATTAGAGGGTGCATGAAGCGAGGGGGAGAGGGAGCGCGTGTGAATATGAAATGCAGGACGGGCAGGGCGGCTGAGCAGGTTCCACGGAGCAGGAGTGTGACTGTGTACTGCATAATCAGGCTGCCACTCAGCGGGGCTGAGGGGAGGCAGAGATAGAGCTGTCTTACTGACCCCGCTTCTGAGACGGCAAAGGGAGGCAGCGAGCGTGCCAGGCAGCTGCGGGGACGTGGAAGGAACCACGAGCTGATTCCAATTTGCTGCCAACACGGAGAAGAACGGGGGAGATGCACGGGAACAGAGGGCGCTGATGGGTCTGGGCACCCGGGCACCGTGCCCCTTCCTCATGCAGCGCCCTGGGCGCAGCGGGCACGGTGGGGTGGTGTCACAGCGAGAGCCTGGTGCTGCTCACCCTGGCACAGGGCTTCTAAAAGGAGCAGAAGCCTGAAGGGGAAAGAAAGCAGAAGGGCTGGCGGGGAGGGTGTTTGGATACGCACGGTGATGGGCACGGAGTAAAAGCACAGTGCATTGAGCAGGGAGTCAGGGGATCCAAGACGGCACGTTACCTACCCCTCATGTGCCATTGCAGTCTAGAGCCTGGCCAGAGGAGCTTTATTTCTTCAGGGCAAGCAGGGGCTTTGCTGTTCTCCGTGCCCTGTAAGGTGCTCAGAAGCTTTCCAGCATGCTGGAGGCCAGGCCCACAGCTCCGGACAGGCTGTGACACATGCTAGACCAGCAGAGCCCAGTGCAATCCCCTGTCCTGGTATAGGCAAAAGCATGCAGAGATGCACCTGGTGCAGAGGTGCTGAAAGAGGCATGATGCCACGGTCCCGAGCCACCAGCGTGCAACAGAACAGGGCTCCTCTTCTCCACCCTCCCGCCACCTTGCCCAGCCATTTCCATTTCGACTTGCTCACAGCATGGCTGGTCAAGCTGCCAGGTTTGACAAGGAGCTGGCCCTGAGAAACAATCTTCTCCGAGTCACTAGGATCTACCCCAGGGAGCACCTCGGACATCACCGGCACCTCTTGGGGATGCCAATCCAAGCAGCTCCCACTGGAGGCTGCATTAATCCCTCCCTCCCCAGCACAGCTCACTACTAGTATGTGTGTGCATGGGGGGTGATAAGTGCAGATGTGACAGATTTGCCCTGTTGCACAGACCCACAGCAGTTAATTCAGCGAACAAAGGACGGTTGTGGCTGGGCGGCTAGAGGAGGTCTGAGCAGGGCTACACACACACAGCCCAGCCTCCTGCTGCCCCTGCCATCCCAGTTTAGGGTTGACTCTAATCAATCAGTGACGGTCCAGCTGATGTCCCATTGCAATTATGTCTCATTGCAGCTGTGCCATTAGCAGATGCCTGTGGAGAGAGGGATGGCTGGAGGTAGGCGTCTCCCGGAGTACAAGCCTCCAGCTTGTCTCTGTGCACCACAAGGGACCCTACTGCAGTGGCAGGAAGGGGAGATAACACTAGATTAAGACACCGATGATTTGAGACAGCAGCTCCAAGTCTTCATTGTGTTTTCTGCATAGAAGCAGACTAGTGCGTGACCCAGGAGGCAGGAACAATCTCTATTAAGCCTAGACACCTCTGGGAGGGCTGGACACAGCTGTGACCTTCCCCAACGAGGGACAAATGCTGCTTGGCCTTTGCACAGCTGTTCTCAAAGTTATTTGTGGAGGTAGTTACCATGCATTGCTCCTATCTCGGTAGCACCACCATGGAGCGCAGGGGAAAACACCGCACCTGCCCCAGACAGCTCAAAGCCTAAAGGAAGAAGACAGCCCATAATAGGCAAACAAGGGGATGATCTAGGAATATCTCATTATTTCTTCCGTGTTAAATCCAGCAGGGTCCTTTGCAATTAATAAGTCAGACCTGAATACTATAGGCCAGTGGTTTTCAACCTTTGTTTTTTTGGGCACCCCTAAAAAATTTCAAATGGAGGTGCGGACCGCTTTGAAGTGTAAGTGTGGGTATTTACGTACTTTTGATTGATCATAGGCATCTTTCGCGGACCCCTTAGACGTAATCTGCAGACTCCAGGTTGGAAACCACTGCTGTAGGCTGCAGAACTGCACACAGTAATTCAGTGCTGTGCACAGTCAGTCAGTGATCCTCAGCCAGGGTTGAGATATAGCTGATATAGCAATGTTAGCGCTGTTAGGTGTGCAAACATGATTCACAAGCTAAACCCAGAGATTTCAAATGGGAATCCATAGCTGTGGTCTTTCTGAGTTTGCAACAGCAAAACTGCTCTATTATGATATTTTTCTTCAGGCAAAAAGGGGAATACTAACAGCTGGTATTTTTCAATGGGTGCCTCAAGTCTATCCAGTGGTGCCTTATGCCTAAAAAGGTGAAAACCACTGCGGTAATTCCCACACCAGTCCATACCTGTGACTCTCCTCCCTGCTCCAACCCTTTATGCCACGGCAGAGAGATGGAGCAA